GTTCGGAGAAATGAAATTTGAGGAGGTCTCTATATTGCGATTTGTCCTTCCTCTCTTCGAAGAAGGGAAGAGGAGGAGAAGGAAGGAAGAAGGAGAAGTGAAAAAGAGACCAAAGAATTCATCATAGGGGCCCCCAGAAATGGGGTTCAAAGGATGATTTTGTTTCATTCTTGTTATGGAAGACCAGAGTTAACACACACACACACACACACGCGCGCGCGCGCTCCACACGCTCGGAGTAGAATATGCAATTTGTTCCTCAGGAAGTTGTGGGCTGGCACACACTGTGCAGACTCAGACCCAAATTTCATGGTAGTTGCACGAGAGCTTTGGAAGGTACAGATTCAACACATGGAGGAACCAAGGCAGCAGCCGTACTCGCCATCAGAAATGCCACCGGCTAAACCAGCATCAAGGGCCACCATCAAGACCTTCTTGGGTGTGATCACTATCTTCGTTATTGCTCAAATGGTGGTCACTATCCTCTATATTTTGCACCTTCACCTCAAGGTAGACAAGGTAAGCCCGGTTTCTTTATAGAGAAGGTGTCAAGGTTAGGCTTCCATGGGTGGGAAGGCAACTACAGTGGGACCACAGGTTGAGTTCCTGGGTTGTTGCTGTTGTTCGTTGCGAAGTCATGTCCGACCCATCGCGACCCCATGGGCACCGTTCCTCCAGGCCTTCCTGTCCTTCACCATCTTCTGGAGTCCATTTAAGGTCATATCAATTGCTTCCGTGACTCCATCCAGCCACCTCATTCTCTGCCGCCCCCTTCTTCTTCTATTGCCCTCCATCTTTCTCAGCATTAGGCTCTTCTCCAGTGAGTCCTTCCATCAGGTGGCCAAAGTGCCTGTGGTATCAAACTCTTATTCTGCTTTCTAATGCGGGGGTTAGCGTGTTGATTGGGGGGGGGAATCAAATATCAGCCCCCACCTAGCAATGGAAGGATGTTTAATGATTTTAGACCAGTCTTCTCGGCTCCACCTCAATCTCTTGAGGGAACACACTGGAAGAAAGTATCCTGGGTCTGTTGTCTTAGCTCCTGGAGGAAAGATAGGTGTAAATCTATGGATGGATGGATGGATGGATGGATGGATGGATGGATGGATGGATGGGTCACTCTTGATTATTCTGATCCCATAGAATGGAAGGAAGAGAAAGTGCTTTCAAAGAAGTTTCAAAGGAGAACATATGAGGGTTGTGCCATGGGGTTCTTAATTACAAGGAAGGTGTATCTGAGTGGGCTGCCTTTCTCCGTCCATCTCCAGCCTCCCTGGCTTCCCACACATCTATTCATTCCTAAGAGAAGACCTTGGGAATTTGTTCCTCCCAGAGACCTTCTCCGCATCTGCAGCCTCCTTGTTGGTTTCTCCTGCTTACATTCAATCCCAAGGGTCTGGGAGATTCTTTCTTTCTTTCTTTCTTTCTTTCTTTCTTTCTTTCTTTCTTTCT